AGGGAATTGCTTTTATTTGTAAAAACGATTACAACATTTCACAGTGGCTATTGTTACGGCACACGTGTGTGAAGCACTCCGTTTGTTCCTTGACCTAAACAGTATTCAACGTCAGGCAGATGTTTGACTGTTGGAACCATCATTCAACCGACTATGATGGTTTAGGAAAACTGAATTATGCATGACATTTTGAGCAACCCAGCTACGGGGAAAACAATCGTACACGGCACGTTCCATTGAAACGCGTACGCCTCTGGCGTTTCAATGCCACTGGACCGCGAACGTACCCGATTTTTGAGACGCTGGAATGGCGAGCTGTTTTGCTGGCTAGCCGCTTGTCCAGTCTCGTCTCGACAAACTTTATTCGGTTAACTGCGACATTTGAGATGACTGTTGAGTCTTCAGTAATATGAAGCGAGTACTTATTATTCACAAGCAAGTACAAATTTACATTCGCTCAAGTTTGCAAATGGCTGCGTTCCTTGCGAACTTTATGTGCAATTATGCTTTCTGTGTGATGATGTTACTTCTTGTAGTATGGTGTATTTTCACAGTACACGTGTACTACCGTGGGCTGATGAAGCGCATTCCATGTGACTGCTGAACAATTCGGAAGTAAGGCTGATACAGGTAAGAGTTTAGTTTAGTGCCCAGACAACTCTTGGATATGTTTAGGATCCAATTATAATAATTAGTGGGTTCCTATACACATGTGCGTATCTTCAATTAAAAAGGGAATGCGTGTATCCGCTCCGTTCACAAGTACCCCCTCACCGGCAAAGAATGTACAGTTGGGGGTGACCGAACGACGCCATCTTGCCTGACTGCAATATTTTGCCGCGAAGCGCGGCCACTGCGTGTACATAGTACAAATGCCCAGGGCCCAATTTCATAGCACTGCTTAACAGTAAGCAGATAAGTTGTGCTTACTATAGCAGAAAATCATGCTGCTGCTTATAAAGCACTATTTCATGCTAACGGTTGCGCGCATGGAGATTTCTATTGTTACGGTGTAGCGTGAATATCCGACTCCATGAAATTTGGACTCATTGGTAGTACTGCGCACGCGTGAGTACGATACTACGCTATTTTTAGGATCATTTTGGGAGACTGAGCTGTCACGTGCGAGGGATCAACCAATAATAGGGAATTAGGGGTCCGATTTTCACAGGAGTCGGATTTTCATGTGACAACGTCACTGATTTAAGCAAAGTTTTCTTCTGGGGTAAAGCGTGCTTTTGCTATGCTTACTGCTTAACGGTCTTTATGAAATAGATAGAGGCTCGGTAAGCACAAAGTCGGCTGTTAAGCAGCGCTATGAAATTGGGCCCTAGTGTGCGTCACACGCGCGTCAACCAGCGAAATGTATGGGTCCCGCCCATTGATCTCCATATACACAGATGGAGATCAATGGTCCCGCCCTTGGGACGTCGTTGCTAGGTAAAAGGGCGCCCTCTTTTTGGCGCACGGAGCCCATTGGTTTTCCATTTCAGAGCTAGTATTCTCAGTTTTTACATCATGTACACATGGCGCTGTCTCGCCGGACTATTGTTACTGCAATCATCAAGAGTAAAGATTAAAAGATCAGGAGAATCAAACATCAGTCTAAACTCCCAGCCTCCCACCTTAACTAGTGGACAAACTCCCCGCCCTGGAACTAACAAGAGGGTATCCACTACATTACCATTATACTCCCGTGCTAGCTACAGTCCTGTTATAGCGTCTAATATGCAGTCCCTAATCCTAGCTATATCCGGCACAGTTTATAGATCCATGGTTTTTAAGCTCTGGCAGGAGCTTCTATGTCACTCAATGGTCGGTCGGTCTGCCTGTCCTTAACAACGTGTGTTCAACATGTGCTTTGGGCGTCGCCTTTTTTACGGCGTCGCAGTTTTTACAGCTATACTTGGCTATTCTGAATCTCCCTCTGTGCGACAGGGCGCATCAAATAATGAATTGATTTTGCTGACAAATCACAACCATTCAACTCATGATAATCAACACTCGATTGTTAAATTTTAACATGCCTTTCAAAATATATTCTGAACTCATGACATTTTTCAAGCAAACCTTGGTAATCCCCGATTCAAATCTGAGTACAATCAAAGTTATATCGGCGTTACATACATCGTGCTTTAAAATATTTTTACAATGATATGGAGCTCAAAACAACGCTCGAAGGTCTATCTACTATGCTGTAATACTTTTTAAGAGGAAAATATATGTTATAGCAAACGCATTCTTCTGCATATTTTAATGAAACCTTTCTGCCAATATACTTTGCATATTAAAATGATACTCGATGATAAATCTGATACACTTAACTATACTTAAATTTACTTCGCTGCAAAACTGAAAAGCGATATTTTTTGTTTGATAAAAGCAATATTTCTGCAAGTTTTAATTAAAACCTGTTTAAGCAATCTGATCACAATTTAAAGACAAATTAAACCGATTTTAAATACACCATGCCAATTACAATAATCTTCCTAGTATGATAATCTGTTCACTCAATACTACTTCAAAAACAAGTATTTAAATCTACTGTGCTGTAATTCGTAAAGACGGAAATACGGAATTATTTCTGCATATTGTAATGAATCCTTTCTGCCAATATACTTTGCATGTTAAAATGATACTCGACGGTAAATCTCATGTACTTAACTATACCTAAATCTACTTCGCTGTAAAACTTAAAAGCGATATGATAAAAGCAATATTTCTGCAAGTTTTAATTAAAACCTGTTTAAGCAATCTGATCACAATTCAACGATTACAATAATCTTCCTAGTATGATAATCTGTGCACTCAAGTATTTAAATCTACTGCGCTGTAATTTGTAAAGACGGAAATACGGAATTATTTCTGCATATTGTAATGAAACCTTTCTGCCAATTTACTTTGCATGTTAAAATGATACTCGACGGTAAATCTCATACACTTAACTATACTTAAATCTACTTCGCTGTAAAACTTAAAAGCGATATGATAAAAGCAATATTTCTGCAAGTTTTAATTAAAACCTGTTTAAGCAATCTGATCACAATTCAACGATTACAATAATCTTCCTAGTATGATAATCTGTGCACTCAAGTATTTAAATCTACTGCGCTGTAATTTGTAAAGACGGAAATACGTACACTATTGTAATTTCAAAAGTTTCGTTAATTCCATAAAAGTCAAATGTTGCATTAGTCGAAATTGTTGACCAAAGAATTCGCTTTTCCTGTACACAATTTTTCATTGGCTCGTTCAACTTCTTTCTAAGTGTTCAATTTGTTTCAATCCATATTAATGCTATCTTGGCAAACAAAACCTACTTTAAGGGCCCCATGTAATATTAAGTATAATACAGTCCTTGAAGATGCACCATCGTGTCTCTTTTTAATTGTATTTTCAATTTTCAGTTTGCCATTTTTAAAAATTTATTTCGGTACCTATCCGTTTTTAATGTTTCTTTTTATGCCGATGCAAAGTTCCATAATCATGACCAAATGTGCTGTAGTTTATTTTCGGCAGGTAGAAACAACAGTGTTAAAGCTATTTCAGCACAGAAAGTTGCGAAATTTTGGAATTTTTTTTGTAAATTTGCAGGTTTTTTTCGGGGGGGGATGATTTTTTGCTTTTGTTTTCAATAGATTACCTTAGGTCAAACGGCAAACTTTTCTTTCGAATGTTTCCAATGAGCACATTTTTGGGTTCAAAATTTGAACTGAAAAACCTAAACTGAAGAGTGTGTTCCTGCAGTGACTACACTGCAAGAGCGCCCTCAGTTGTCAGGAAATGCATGGAACAAAAAGTGCACTTTTCAATGTTAACCAAAAATAGGATGTCAAATAGTTTGTATGCATTATAGAAGAATAGAAAGTTCCGCAAAGTATGTTCCCAAGTAAAATTCATGTCCTGGTCCTTGAACTAGCTGACAGTCTTCATTTTCTATTGAAAACACTTTATCAGTTAAACCATCCACATTAGTAACAATCGAAGTATTTATAGATAACTACAATATTTGATTTTAAACGAACGTTTAAGATTAAAACACTGTACGTGTACATACGTAAACAATCGCAACCGGTTGTTAAAAAGTCTGTGTAACCTAGAATGAAAAACTGAATTGATATTTTCTCTTGTTATTCAATCCTGAAATCAATCAAATCCTTTTGCATTTCTAAATTACAAAGATCTTAAAACATACCTGCTCTCAAGAAAAGTCTAAGAAAGCGGCTATTACATTGGTAAAGTGTCCGTGCAGCAAAGTTTAAGACACAATACAGCTTTTAACATTGTAAAACTCACAGACGATATAAAACTACATTCCGCTTATTGTATACTGACGCAACAACAACAATAATTTCTACATAAAAAATGGTATTCATAACATGTTGATATATGAATACATGCATAACTGTTGTTTTCAGAACTCAATTTAATTTTCACAGCAAACTATTCATACAGCTTCTTGGTTTTGTAACAAATTCTGCTTAATTTTAGATTTACTGAAACAATTCTCGGGTCGTGTTTCTTTTTTATCGGTTTAAACAATATAAGTTGCCCGTTGAAGGGAATCTGTTTCACAACATTTAAATGTATGTGTTTTGAATTGTAATTAACAAGATTCATTTTCTTTCATTCTACATTTAAAGTTCCACCTTGGCTACAACCGCTATACATGTATAACAAGGCCAACTGCTTGAAACCATCCAAGGAAACAAATCTGCATCCGATACAGACTCTTATCCTTGTTATTTAGGCAGGTAATTATTTAGGCAGTGAAATTCTATCAATTAAGCTGGCTCATTCTATCTAATAATCAGCAATTCGATTCATAATTTGTTTGGTAATAAAATCCAAACTCTATTCAATAAACTGGCTAAAATGTCTACCTATTAAGCGCGATTGAAATTGAACTAATTTACAATTAGTGTGTTGATTCGGCTATAATGATCATGATAAAAAGCACAAAATTTACCACTGCCCTCGCGTTACATCTGCAGTGTAATTTAGCTTCTTGCATCGTCATGGCCTAAGTGCAACAGGAACCGACTAGAACATTCATCAGAGGTAATGATTTCGTCAATGGTCACTGGCTTTGTCGTTAAAAAAGGGAATTCGCGTATGGTCTACTCGGTGCTTGTCTGGGGGTTACTCGATGCTAATATTTCCAAACTGTTATTTTCTACGTGGTATGTTTCAAGATTACAGAGTCCTTCATTTTTGTTGAATTTGTTTTTTCTCTTCATGTAAATGTAAACAAGACCACAGATTCCAAGTACAACCATCACAACAACAACAGTAATGACTGCTATTATAGCTGGACCAAGCCCTTTCTTCCCTCCATCTCCCATGCGAGCACAAACAGGGAGATCATTCGTCCACTTACCATCCTCAAGACAGGTCAACCTGGCAGACCCATTCAAGGTGAAGCCATCATCACAAGCCACATCCACGGTGGCATTCACAAAATGCACTGACCCAGAAACCGACCCATTCGCCACATCACCCGGGTAGCCACAGTTGACAATCTTGACAGCACAAACAGGGAGACCAGACGACCACTGACCATCCTCAAGACAGGTCAGTTTGGGAGACCCTTTCAATGTGAAGCCATCATCACAAGCCACATCCACAGTGGCATTCACGAGATACACAGACCCTGACAGCAATCCGTTCTCCACATCACCCGGGTAGCCACAGTTGACAACACAAATGGGGAGGTCAGACGACCACTGACCATCCTCAAGACAGGTCAATCTGGAAAACCCTTTCAAGATGAAGCCATCATCACAAGTTACAGCCACTGTGTAGTTTACGAGATACACAGACCCTGACAGCAACCCGTTCTTCACATCACCCGGGTAGCCACAGTCGACAGCACAAACAGGGAGACCAGACGACCACTGACCATCCTCAAGACAGGTCAATCTTGAAGACCCTTTCAAGGTGAAGCCATCATCACAAGCCACATCCACAGTGGCATTCACGAGATACACAGACCCTGACAGCAATCCGTTCTCCACATCACCCGGGTAGCCACAGTCGACAGCACAAACAGGGAGATCAGACGACCACTGACCATCCTCGAGACAGGTCAATCTGGAAGACCCTTTCAAGGTGAAGCCATCATCACAAGCCACATCCACTGTGGCATTCACGAGATACACAGACCCTGACAGCAATCCGTTCTCCACATCACCCGGGTAGCCACAGTCGACAGCACAAACAGGGAGACCAGACGACCACTGACCATCCTCAAGACAGCTCAATCTGGAAGACCCTTTCAAGATGAAGCCATCATCACAAGCCACATCCACAGTGGCATTCACGAGATACACAGACCCAGACAGCAATCCGTTCTTCACATCACCCGGGTAGCCACAGTCTACAGCACAAACAGGGAGATCAGACGACCACTGACCATCTTCAAGACAGATCAATCTGGAAGACCCTTTCAAGGTGAAGCCATCATCACAAGCCACATCCACAGTGGCATTCACGAGATACACAGACCCTAACAGCAACCCGTTCTCCACATCACCCGGGTAGCCACAGTTAACAGCACAAACAGGGAGATCAGACGACCACTGACCATCTTCAAGACAGGTCAATTTTGATGTCCCTTTCAAGGTGAAGCCATCATCACAAGCCACATCCACAGTGGCATTCACGAAATACACAGACCCTGACAGCAATCCGTTCTCCACATCACCCGGGTAGCCACAACTGACAATCTTGACCAATCCTTTCTGGACTTCAGTTATTGTGACTGTTACCACAAGAGTCTCGTTAGCAAAAGACAGGCTGCCGGTGATTACCGCATCAAAGACACACTCAATGGAATCGCCACACAGATCCTTGATTTCCTGACTCACTAAATTAAGATCAGGAACCTCGAAGGTCGGGGAAAACTCAGGAAGGTAGTAGGTGTTGTAGTCAAATGGGGAGATGTAGGTGAATATTGACTCCTCTGGAGCCACCAACCACTCCAAACCAAACTCATGAATTTCTTTCAGCGAAGAACCAGGCTCAAGAATGGTTCCGTTTGGGAACTGAAGGTCGTCATCTGGGTTTCCGTTCAGGTTTCCAAGAAGTCCTTGAATTTGACCCTGGAACTTAGTGTCCAGTTGAGCGATGAACGACATCATCTCGGTATCAATGTACACGGTTACAGCGATACCAGAATTGAATGCTACGTTGATTTTGTTCATGTTAGAGTTGAAGCGGATTCGAACACCTCTGAGGTGATGAACTTTGACCGGGAGAGAGTCAAGACGCAATGGTTCACCGTCTACAAGAATCAGTGTCTCGTGGATGTTCGACATCTGCACCTGGACTTTGGATGAATCGTTGGTTTGAAAAACAAATGCCGTGTACACAGATGCGTTGGTGTTGCGGTACCTCTCCATACGGGCTTGAAAGGTTAAGTTTTTTACTGCAGATGACGCCATCAGAAATTCCCCGGCTCCGTTGAAGGTGAACTTGTAGCCATCGAAACTTGTCACATGGGGATCCCCAGTGCCCCCAGCCGGGCGAGGTGGTTCGTAATTAGAACAATCATCGGATGGTCTGTACTTGTAGTATTCCTTACAGTTGTTGGAGAGTTTGCACAAGCAAAGCCAGGGAACAACGTCGAACCACTGATGCCAGACTGTATTCCAGTCGCTGGGGCAATAACTGTCGGCTGTTCCTCCCCCTGGGGGACCTACCAGGATATTACCGTCTCTTCCGTAACAACACTGTTGACCTGCTCCAGTTGGCAATGAATTAACAGACCGATAACAGTTCTCAGCACCCGGATGAAAGAAGAAATTCGCAAAATTCGCCTCCTGGAAGTTCAGGTCTCTTTCAACTTGTCTTGTGTTGCAAGGACATGGAGACAGTCCTGTAGGCACAGTATTCTTTAACTGGTACTTTGAAATTTCACAGGTGATCGCAGTAACTATAATTACAGCAGGACCATAATATCTTATGCGCCACAACAAACATCCAATATTTCCTCGTCTTCTCAATCCAGACGGAGTAAGATAAAATGCTGCGAGTGACAAACCATCACTGGTGAGGGATTGAAGGGCTCTTGGATGTATCATCAAACTACCGTTATTTATGGCATGGTTCTTCACTGCGACACCTTCCATCAGGACTGGATTCCCATCACTGTCGTTATCTGTGTCTTGTATCATAACAGTCACATGTGAAACTTCTTCATCAAGACTTCTAGGATCCCAGGAGAACATGATCGGATCATCTGAGGTCAGGTCAATGATGCCATCTCCATACTCAGAATTCACCTGTTGGATTTGAAGGAGTGGTGGCAGATCCTCTTCAGATGCAATGTACACAATGCCGGAGTATGGGAATGATTCACCATCGTCAAGTGATACATAGACAGATGTAAGTCCCTTCTTGTAAAAGATGGGAGTGATACAGACAACATTGTAAGAGTCGGTGCGTTCACCAGAAACAATGACGTCTCCAAATCCAGTGGAAAATTTGCACTTTGCAGCAAGTTGAAAGGACATATCATTAGTTTGCAAGCAGGGAACAGTCATCGTGAAAAGCTCGCCTCCAAGTTCTCGCAAATAGTACGGTATCAAACTCGGCACTTGATTATTGCTTGGGAGAGACAGACCAGCGGCGTAGCCATAGGATTCGTCGTCTTCATACCCGTAGACAATGACGGAGAGGGGTGCTGAATAAGGGTCAATCTGTTCGACGTAGTAGACACCTTCACCCTTTGGAAGTTGAACAGTCAGCGATATGTAACTAGTGTGAGGAACATCGCTTACAAGCACATTTCTGCCGTTGATAGGTAAACTATTAAGATACACATTGTGTCGGGATTCACGTTTCACAATGATATTGATGAAATTAAAGTAACCTCCGGAATCTTCTCCCGAGTGAGGAGGGGTCGTGAATCCAAACACAAACCCAAAGTGTTCTTCTGCAGGAACCTGAATGATGGAGGGGTCGACTGTGATACCATTGATGGACGCCAAATGCTGCATCATCAGAGCTGGTTTGCTTGACGTAACGAGGCCGGAACCAGAAAGACGCCCCTCCCAAAAATCACCCGGTTCCAACGACTGGTGTTCAAGGCCGGGGATTGTGAGATTAGTTTCGTTGAAATAAGCAACAATTCGGTAGATGTTGTCATCGTCACTGCGGGCCGCGGTGTAGATGTGTCTCAGTCCCCAGCTCTTCACGGGTACCAATTGTTCAGTCACCGTGTCACAATATGAACCAGCGTGGCTTGTGCATTCATTGCCACTAAACACAACAACTGGTTTGTCACTCTGAATGATACTTCCCGTTAAATCTACCGAACTCTGACCTTGGATTTGAACGGCTTCTAAGTTATTGACAGCAAATCTCAGCACATCACCTGGACTATAGCTTTGCCCTTCGAAAGTAACAGCTCCTCGTAATATAACCTGGACCAAAGTGAAATCCTCTGTCCCAATTACAGCAAACTGCGAGTTGTGGTCAACTATTGGTCTTGACGTTATCACGACGTATTGCGTGCCGAGATTATTTGTTGGTATACCGAGAAAGCCGTCAGTGGTGTAATCTTGATATATCAGACCGTAAGCAGAAACATCAGAGCTTGCTGAAATTTCCAGCACCTTTTGGCTTCTCTCAGTATTAACCATCACAAGTTCAACTGGTACGTTGGTCCGCATGAATCCACCTGCATCGATCACAAAGGTCTCCTGGAATGGTTCCCCTGCTATTTCGTGCTTGCTGCTGATGGTGACTGTGGTTTGCTGATTACTGAACGCCACCACCAAAATAGACAGCTCCCTGGATGCGAGGTAGCGGTCATCGTAACTATCAATAAATCCAAGAACAAAGTGTTTACCTCTTGATATCCCAGCGCATCGAGGCTGATTGTTACCAGGTAACTGCAGATCCAGAGCTGACACCAGCATTTCTGATAATAGAAAGGCCTTGAAGAGGACCAACCAGAAAATATGTCTCTTCAGTACAGGCTTCATTCTGAGAAAAAGGAAAATATTTCAAGACTTTTAACTACCGAGCAGGCATCCTGGGTTCAAATGAATGAGTGGGGTTGCTAAAAAAAATGTGGGTCGTTTAAACAAGGTTGTTGCCGAAAAGACAAAATCAGAAAAAGCGTCTTTAAGTCATTTTTAGTAATTCTTTTTCCATGCTAGGTATAAATCAGACAGATTCTCAAAATTTGAAGCCGTTATTTTGTGGTCATATTGTGGGCGTGGCCCACGTGTGTAAAGAGGCGGTATACCGGAGAAATTTTCAATTTAGTCTATCTACAATGCTGCCTATGTGGTAAAAAGATGACAATTCTGTATGGAACCACAGACAGTTTTCGGACATTAAAAGTTGGAATATTAGAAATTATCAGTTTAGTGTCGAAATAGGTATAGTCTTTTTGATTGTTTCAGGTAAAATGACGGGATAAATAAATATTTTTCTCACTCCTTTTTTATCACGTCTCAGAAAGAAAACGAACTTTAAAATATATAATTTTTTTTTATACAAGTTGTCATTGATGGCACTATACTAGCAGGCTTTTATACTATGCTAAAAATCTCAAATGACTTAGACTAAACATGTTTAAAAGTGTTTAAACTCTAAGCACTATTTAAATAGTGTAACTTTGAGATTAGAGGATGTGGTCATATTAAGCTTAGGTTATTTTCAAAACAAATAGTGAATAGAAAGGCTTTCTTTCGACCTAAAGTGATAAGGTTTAAAATGCCATAGGAGTTACAGTTGTGCGTGGAACTTCAGGCTAATCACTTTTGAGGGGGCCGTCCGTAAAGTACGTACGCAAAGCGATAATTTTCTTTGAATAAATTGTCAAAATCAATGTACTTTCTCATATGTAATACCTACCAGGACCAGCTCTTATGCATGAAAAATCTTAATAACACTGTAACCTCTTCTTCCCAGCGTCACCAGTACTCCGCCAGCCAACGCCTTTAAAGGTCATCAAACTTCAGCAACATGATAGCGATTGTTTTAATACGGCCCCTCATCAGTTTTGGTCAAGTAGGGCCTAATTGACAATTTTTGTTTCAATTGAACATTATTTTTCGATTGAAAATGCGATGTTTTTTTAAGCATTTTACAGTTCACCCGTCGCAGTGATCGCCATTTTTTTGTGTGTTGCATTTTGTCGTCTTCATCATCGTTTTACTATGGTGGCCCTGAAGGGACATCGCATATCGCAAACGTGTGCGCATACGTATGCGATGTCGCGAAATTTATCGCGAATGTGTGCGCACACGTATGCAATGTCGTGAAACAATTCGCGAATATGTGCGAACACGTATGCGATGTCGCGAAATTTATCGCGAATATGTGCGCACACGTATGCAATGTCGTAAAACAATTCGCGAATATGTGCGCACACGTATGCGATGTTGCGAAATTTATCGCGAATATGTGCGCACACGTATGCGATGTCGCGAAATTTATCGCGAATATGTGCGCACACGTATGCGATGTCGCGAAATTTATCGCGAATATATGCGCACACGTATGCGATGTCGTGAAATTAATCGCGAATATGTGCGCACACGTATGCGATGTCGTGAAACAATTCGCGAATATGTGCGCACACGTATGCGAATTTGTTTGCAATGTCGTGAATTTTATTGCATACCTTGTCGCATGTCACCACTAACTATGAAACTTGACTTTTAAAGTGATGACCCCGGTCAAAAAGAAACTAAAGTACAAAGACAGAAAGAACTGACGACGAGAAACAAGGAAATAATTCACCAATTAATTATATTCATAAACTCAAACTATTTACAATATTTACAAAGATCCGGACTCGTGGATCAAACTTCTCATAATCAATCTCAGTTAGGAGTTTTACTTTCTACTCCAACAACTTAGTCTACAAATTTAATTTTCTTAAGCTTAACTCGTAAATTTCTAAAAATCACAAATCTCTTACTGAGTGTACAACGACACAATTCAAAATCAAATCCAACTGTAGAATATGGCTCTAAAATTCAGCCGTAACTCTTGTTTAAATTCAGCCTTAGCTCCAAAATTCAATTCAAAATTCAGTCCAATCAAATATAACTACTTTGGATCTAGAATCCCACCGTGACTATACCACAATTTAAAATTCACTTCAATCAAATATCAATACTTCTGTTTGGTTCTGATAAAACTGGTTAAATCAAAGTAATCAACCTTTCGGATTAGAACGCTCAATTCGACAATTCAATCACAATTTTGTTCACACTTAATTCCTTCAAACAGCTATATCAACTTCGGTTATATTTCTTATGATTATTCCAAAAACAAAATCACAGCTTTCTGCAAAGTTAAAACTTTACAATTTTAACCGAGGCACTTTCCTTAGTAGAGGGTCTCGTCTCCGTGCACCTTTCCAGCTGACGGGTCAATCGGCACGGGACACACTATGTACAGACTGACATCGTAGTCGTTCTGCAGTCGTTACTATTCATCATGCATGAACCCAACTCGTACTTTGAGGTTTCCGGCCATGGTTATTTCTTCATTATGATGCTTGTGAAGGCTGAGTGTTGCTATGAGCGTGGTCTACAGGACCGGGAAGGTGGCTTTTAGCCTTGCCCAGACTATTTTGGCACTGATTTTGCCAAACTGGCGGATCAGACAAGATCGGTGGCAGATTTCACCGATTTTCTGACGAAAACCTGCTGTATCAGGCGTCTCCTAGCAAGATGGTACCGGTCTCTGTCACACTCAGCTCAGATCTCTCAAATTTGTTGGTGTGTCTTCTCTCTCGATCAGAGAATGCACTCCTCAGAAAACGCACACAACTCTACTTGACAACAACCAACATTCTTTCACACAATACTCACATTCACAGAAACAAACGGACATCAATAACCATGGCCACACGGACAATAATAATTACGTAACCCGACGCACGGCGTTTTAGCAGGTTGACCAAATCAATGACTTAATTTTTAGTGGCTGGAAAAGAAACTACCGGGAAAATGTGCGTACACGATTGGTGAAAAACTTTTGGCATGATCTACTTTACAATACGGGGGTGGCGCGATAGCCGTAGCGCGCGTAATAAATACAATTACGTAACAGAAACGAAGCGAATTAAAAACGATTGTGACATTTTACCCCCTATCGTATGAGAAAATGTTTCCCATTTTCTACGAATTAATATTTACAAGGAGAACTATTTACAAGTTTCGGCTGAGGAAATCCGCTCCTACATTATCACAACCTTTGATGGCAATGATGCGCATTCGGTAGGGTTGGAGAGCAAGAGCCCATCGCATGATGCGTGCATTCGCGACTTTTGCTTTCTGCATGTAAGTTAGCGGTTGGTGATCGGTCTGAACGATAAACGGTTTGCCGTACAGGTAAGTCTGGTATTTCTGAACACCCCAGACTAAGGCCAGACATTCCTTCTCAATCGAGGAATATGCTCGCTCGCGACTTAGCAACTTTCTGCTTGCATATGCTACAGGGAACAATACATCACCATGCTCTTGTAACAAAATCGCACCTATGCCGAGATCTGACGCATCTGTGCGCAAGGTGAATTCTTTTTCAAAGTCAGGCAGCATGAGTATGGGCGCAGTAGCAAGGCACTTCTTTAGCTTGTCAAACGCTAATTGCTGGCTCGCTTCCCAATTGATTTTATTGGGTTCTTTGCTTTTTGTCTTGTCGGTCAAGGGGGCTGCTATCGCTGCATAATTCGGAATGAACTTTCTATAGTAGCCAGATAGTCCTAAAAATGATCGCAGCTGTTTCTTCGTGATTGGCTGAGGTGCATTCTGAATCTTTTCTATCTTGTCCGTTTGCGGTGCTATCATGGAGTTTCCTACAGTGTGCCCAAGATACGCAATGCTGCTCATTCCTATGGAACATTTGCTGGGTCGCGCGGTTAAGCCAGCTTTCCTTAACCTACTGAGCAACGCGGTTAAGACCTTGATGTGTGTTTCCCACGACTGTGTATGGATGAGAATGTCATCTATGTAGTTATCAATGTGCTCTAATCCATTCACGAGAGTTCTCATAATGCGGCTAAACGTTGCCGGCGCGTTAACAAGGCCGAAGGGCATCATTTTGAACTGATATAGGCCGTTCGGAGCAACGAATGCAGTTTTGTCTTTGATTTCAGGATTCATTGGGACTTGCCAGTATCCCTTAGTCAAGTCGATTTTTGTGAAGAAGTGATCTTTTGCCAAACGTGAGAAGATTTGTTCTTGGTTCGGAATAGGCTCTGCATCAAAGACAGTTACCTTATTCAGTTTGCGGAAATCTATGCAAAAGCGATTTGAGCCGTCCGGTTTTTTGACTAACACTATAGGAGATGCATATGGCGATTCCGACTTTTCGATTATGTTCATATGGAGCATGTTTTCAACTTCGGCATTTACAGTATCGATTAACGCGTACGGGAGCGGGTACGGTTTACTGCGTACGGGTTCATCGGATCTGACCTTGATCTCGTGAAACCCTAGGTTTGTTTTACCGGGCAAATCTGTTAAGACATCGCGGAAATTTCCTAGGATGCGTTTTGTCTCTCTTCGTTGTTCGATTGTCAATTTTGGACTTATTTCAACGTCGTCTATGGTTTCGTTCGGTTTTAGTGATGGAAACACGAGAATATCATTATCGAGTTTAGTGTCTGGTACTGGTTCGTCTTTCGAACAGATTTGTTCGCATTCGATAAGTGATACATGGGCGCATTCGAAAATGTGTTCTACTGCGTGTTGAGGATTGTCAGTGATCAGCGAAGTTATTTCAGGACGTGGTATGTACCTCTTGAGTAAGTTCGCGTGGAAGACTTTTGATTTTCCGCAGAGATCGATTCGATAGTCTAACTGACCTACTTTGTCGAGTACTGGGAATGGACCTTTCCACTGGAGTAACAACTTGTTATGATCGGTAGGGAGCAGAAGTAGGACTAAGTCACCTGGTTTGAAACTTCTCATTCGGGCTTTTCGGTTGTAGTAGTGTTTGTTATGATCGGACGATT